ATCTGTACAGCAACATCTGTAGAGCAACATCTGTACAGCAACATCTGTAAAGCGACATCTATACAGCAACATCTGTAAAGCAACATCTGTACAGCAACATCTGTATAGCAACATCTGTACAGCAACATCTGTATAGCAACATCTGTAGAGCAACATCTGTATAGCAACATCTATACAGCAACATCTGTAAAGCAACATCTGTACAGCAACATCTGTACAGCAAAATCTGTACAGCAACATCTGTACAGCAACATCTGTACAGCAACATCTGTACAGCAACATCTGTAGAGCAACATCTGTACAGCAACATCTGTAGAGCAACATCTGTAGAGCAACATCTGCACAGCCAGCTGTTAGCCGCTCTGGGGATCGTCCACAGGATGATCGATTTGGCTCAAATCTCAGTTTAATCCAGAAAGACGGCCTCAAACTCACAGAGAAACTCAGTTTAATCCAGAAAAATGGCCTCCAACTCACAGAGAAACTCAGTTTAAGTAAGAAAAAGTGCATTGATTTGACCAGAAAACTAAATACAAGTCAGAAAAACGTCCTCGTTTTTACTAGGAAACAGCAGTTTGAGTAAAAAAAAACGGCCTCAAACTCACAGAGAAACTCAGTTTAAGTCAGAAAAACTGCATCGATTTGACTCAAAAACTAAATACAAGTCAGAAAAACGTCCTCGTTTTTACTAGGAAACTGCAGTTTGAGTTAAAAAAAACGGCCTCAAACTCACAGAAAAACTCGGTTTGAGTCAGAAAAACTGCATGGTTTTGACTCAAAAACTAAATATAAGTAAGAAAAACGTCCTCGTTTTGGCTAGGAAACGCAGTTTGAGTAAACGGCTCATACTCACAGAAAAGCTCTGAGTCAGAAAAACTCAGTTTGAGTCAGAAAAAAAGCCTAATTTTGACTAACTCACAGAGAAACCCTGTTTGATCCAGAAAAACGGGCTCATTTTAGCTAAGAAACTCAGTTTGAGTAAGAAAATCTCAACATCCTGGATTTGACTTAAAAACTGAGTTTGAGTGAGAAAAAAAAAA